TACATTAATGTTTTAAACCCTTTATAAATAAAGCACTGAAGGCAGGCATCTGTCTAGAACTATAAATTCCAGAGTACTGTGGTTCTCTTGTGTTCTCAATAATAGATGTTTGAGCTCATCTTTACTTTGCAAAGTAAAGAGAACAAAACAATCACAACAGGTTGATGTTCTGTCCTGTTCTGATCTGGACAGAGTTTGTCTCACATGAGGGGAAATAATTACAGATACTTTGGTTAAACAGTGAAATGTTGTGAATGATCCTTCAGAAAGAATCTTACCTGTTGTGGGAAAAGTGTTTCTTGTCCCAAACAACTCTTCTCAATCAGACACCTTGCAGCCTTGCAGCACTGAGGCCTGAATGAATCTCAGCACTCAGAAAACAATTTATGCAAAAGAGAATTAATAGGAGATTGCTTATTTTCCCAACACACCAATAGCCTATTTAATGTAAAGTTGTTTCAAGATTTGTAAAAGTGTTTCAGATTTTGTATTGTTGGTTTGCATTTCCTGGCCTCCGTATATTTGCCTCCAGAGAGTCTGATAGGCGGATCCGCTCCTGCAGGCAGTTAAGGTTTAGTTCATGACAGTTTACTGGCATTTACTGTGGTGAAAGCGTCTCTCAATTTACTTTGTCATCTAATAAGAGAAGGCGCCAATAAAAGACTCTAAAACTGAAGCTTGAGTTCAGATTGAAATAAAAAGAATGGAGAAAGCTTCAGCTCTCTATGCATGTCAGACCAATTTATTTATAAAACCCCATTCATACAGAGAGCGATCAAAGGTGCTTCACAGATAACAAAGATAAAACAAAACTTAATAGATTAGACACTTCAAGGAATTGCTAAATTAAATCCATAAAAGCCTTTTTTAAATTTTGATCACGGCTATCAATCATTAAAACTTAATCAGCTAATTTGAGCAAGAACTTTATATTTTCTGTCCATATTTAGAAGAACCAGTTTCTACATATTTACAGTTTAAGGTTTTTGTTGTGAGAAAATAAATATTTCCTCATTTTATTTATTTCCAGCCAAGTCAGCCATAAATAAGCAGGTTCTTTATGATCTTAGAGGTCGACATGCTTCATTGTTCATCTGTAACTCTAAAGGCAGAATAATATGAAAATGATATATAATCATCATACGAATTTAGACTTTTATTTTACAGAACTTTTCATTTAATCTTTATCTAATGTAAAACAGCTCTTGGTCTGTCACACAATGATACAATAAAATACGTCTACCTGTAGGTTGCAATGGACAAAATGTAAAAGATTTTATATTAAGGAGAATTCCAACCTTAAAAACATGCAGACACACAGAAACACTTAAATTACAAAAGCTTTAATAATACAATAATTTAAGTGTTTGGCGCTCAGACCTCGGCAGGAAACATTAGCGCTGAAATTTACCCAGGTCCGCCTGGGGCGCCGTTTTGACTTTGCTGTTAGATGTGTGGGCAACCAGCCTGCATGCTAGGCCTCCTGAATGCAGCATATGTCCAGGGAATCCCTGCAGTGAGGAGGATGAAGGTGCAGAAGGGAATGGAGGAGCGCTGAATGCAGGAGCTTGGTTGGGTTGCAGGCTGAGGGGTGGATTTACATCTGGACTCTGAGTGCTGATTGGCCGGCTCTGAGGACTAGGGTTAGGGTTAGAGCCCCTGATTGGATGTGGATAAATGATTGAGTTTATTCCGGTGAATTGCTGTCTAGGTGTCATGAATCCATTTGCACAACATTTAAGTTTTGTACTCATTAAAACTGAGTTACATTTAATTGACATTTATCAAGAGGTCAACAGCTAAACTAATAGAACTGG